ATAATTCCTACTGGCTGCCTGAACTAGAAAGCAACGGGATCATGCATACTAATGAATCCAATCCAAGGTTTGTTAGGAAAAGAAATATCACCTTTACTAAAGCTGTATGTATAACAAGCAGCACAACCCCCAGAGCCCCCACGCAAGTTAGCTTCAGCAGCCCGTCCAACAATGCCAACAGCTGCACTCAAACCTGCTCCAACTGATAAATGCATGTTTCCACTAAATGTTCTGACAGCACTTTTAGTTCTCAATACAATAATGAAATCCGTAAATTCACCTCCAGCCTATTAGAGTTGAAAAAGAGCAGTAAAATAGATATAAGTACATTCAGTCAGATTGGACCTAGACATTCAAACTTGTCAAAAGTAATGTTCAATAATTTACCAAAAGGTTTCATCACTCAAAGCTGGTAAATAGGGGCAGAATTTAGTTTGTTTTCTTGTTTTAGCATTCATACAAACACAAACAACATATTGCACAAGGAACAACATTCTAAAATATTATAGGAGCTAAGCAGTCAAACAACCATTTACCAAGTCAAGTTACCTGAGCTCCCCAGCCAACACCGAAGGAACATATTGCAGATGGTGGAGACCAAGATCCATCTTCTCCACGAGCAACAACCAGCCCTGTTCCAATATTGTATGTTACCATAACCCCAACCTTTGCAACAGTAAGAATTGCAAGGCCTTTTGCTTGTTTTAAAATAGCATCTGGTATGGACTTTTCAGGTTTCAAGGACCCAACCTGTGTACAATGCTAAACTGATGTGTCATGAAACATGCACTAATGTAATTTGTCGAATTAATACATTCAAATTTAAATATTTGAGAACTTCCACCAGCTTTCTGAAATGGTCTTATGAAATGATGGCTTCAAGGATTAATCTAGATGAGTTCATAATAACAAACAGAAAGTGAGACATTACCTCATTATAATTGCGAACGATATTTGCAGCCTTATAAATCTCATATTCCATGGATTGGCCCCAAGGAATATTGAGCCATGATCTTAAAGTACTGAGGTCTGTCAGATCATGGGTTGGCAACTGAGCAGCACGACTTACACAGTCCAGCAAGTATGATTGGACAGACTCAAGCCTCACACAACAAACATCACATACTCGTTGTGGGTTCCCAGTGCGAAATTTCATTGGTAACAGGCTTCTTCCCTTAGAACATTCATTGCAGAATATCCCACCGCAAAAGCGGCAATGATGACGAGGGCGCATGATAGGATGGAACCGCACATTACAAAGCATGCAAGCAGAAGCCACACTGTCAGCCAACCATTTTGGTGGCTCTGCTTCAAGAATTTCCCTGTTATTACCAAAATTAGCCTCTGTAAGCGTTTGAGCCATCTCTTTCCATGCTTGTTCAAGAAGATGATTAGATAACCAAGAAATTCCACATCTTCGGACATCACTAGAAGCAATAGCACTCACTTTGCCTTGAGCTGCTATTAACATCTCATTGAACACATCCCACATGCTCAGGTCCTTACTTTCTCCAGTAAGCTGATTCCAGCCTAAATCACCATCAGGAAAGTATCCTCCATTCAGACTGAGGCCACTACTGCATTCTTCATGTTCACTTTCAGACATAGGGGGAACGGACACAGGAACCCAAACTCCTGTTTCTTCAGAAAATAGTGTATCATAGTAAAACAATTTACGTTGTTTCTGATTTCCAGTGCCTGAAACAATTTGCATACCATTGCCTCTGCTAACTTTGGGTGGTGCTTCACCTTCAGACTTTTGAAGCTGCTTTCCAATCTTGCTGAACATCTGTTCGTACCAGATTACCTTTTTCTCTATGTTCCTCCACTTTTACCAGATCCTAACACCATAATAAACAAAAAAAAACATCACTATTATTTTATCTTTCACCAAAGAATAATAATCTCAAAGTAAAGCAGTCATCATTCACCAAGATTAACAAACAATTCCTGAAAAACAGATGACAGGCATATTATACTAGAAAAATAAGAGAAATAAACTATAAATATTCTGATCCATAATGATTGTAAGTATGTTTAAGAAGTCTCAACAAAATAACAAGATAATTTCAAGTCTTTAATAGTTCACATCAATCAAATATATCTCCACGTAGAACTTCACATTCTACTAAATGCAAATCAAATTATATAACCTACAATTTCTACAATTGACTTTGCTCTAATACTTGGAAATCCATCATTGCACCATTTCGAAACAGTACAATCAATCTTCGGCATACATAGTGAACAGCATAACATAAACTACTCAAACAATTCCAGGACCAACAGCTCAGAATATCTAAACTATAATTTTTTCCTTAACAATTCTACACTAGCTTCAATGATTACTACATAACAGATTTCAAGTAAAACCACAATAAGACCCCTTACACTTTACACTTCAAAAAATTAAGAACAACCCTTAATTAAAATTTTCTCCTATTTACCAAGCTAACAACAATCAAGCCAAACGAGAGAGAAAACTAACAGATAGTCCCTTAAATGAAAAAACAACAAAAAATGTAAAAATAAATAAAATTTGATTCTCTTTATCATAGTTATCCCAGTTAATGTTATTTATTGAACAATTCCAGCAAAACCCAAATGGTTTATCAAAAAGCCTAATAGAAAGATATCTAGTTCCTTTTCCTTTGTTTTCTAGGCAACCAAACACATTTTAACAAGAGAAGAAAAAAAATTAAAAATACCTGGTGAGAGAAGAATTTGGGCTGGTAGTCCACTAGTTGAACTTTAGGGTATTTTGTCCGTCCCTCCATTGTTTTACGATCAATGGAGAGAGAGATATGAAAACGGCATGTCGTTTCGGATAAACCTCAAGCCGAACTCGTATCATTACTAGTGTTTCTGGACTAACTCTGTTTGATTGAAAGTGGGTTTGGGCTTTTCAGTGGTGAAAGATGTTTTGGGCCTTTTCTTCTTTTTTCATCCGTTCTTTATTTTTTCAAAACATTTTTTTCTAACAAAAAGGCTACTGTTTAAAATTAATTAGAGAAAAAAATATTATCAAATACATTAATTTCATCAATCAATCAATTCTTATATTTAAAATTGAGTATGAAGGCTGTGGGACCTTTGGGGACAGAAAGAAAAGAAATCGGTTTCATTTAATAAGCAAACAAGAAAAAAAATTATGATTTTTTTCTGAAATATCTAACAAAGAATGAATTTTCTATGTAAAATTCAATTCAGAAAGCGATTCAACACTGACAATTAATCAAAAATTCAATTAAGAAAGTGATTCAACACTGTCAATTGACCAGAGTCTCCGTTGAACCCAAAAACTTCTGAAGGAATATAAAAAGAGTCCAATAATGATCTAAACCGGAAAGTTGGCTATAATGATATAAAAGATTAAATAAAATTCATCAAACATTAAACATATAAAAAATATACATTAATTATAATAATGGTGTCATATATATATATATATAAACGGAATAAAATTATGAAAGGAGTCTTTTTCGCTCTCTGTGAGTAAATACGAAAGAAAAAATAATTTTTTAAATTTAAATATCTCTTTACTTTATGTGTTTTATACAAAATGAATAATTTTATAAGAAAGTTCTTTTTGTATTTTTTATTTGTCTCTTAAATTACTAATTAACATATTAAGTTATTGAGTTAAATTATTGAGATATAATATGTTATTGGGTTAGATTATTAAAATATAATATGTTATAATAGGTTTAGATTTTTATTAAAATTTAATGAGTTTAAGTTAGTAGACTTACTTTTTTTTTTAATTTGAAGGACTTAATATTTTATGTTAGAATATTTTATTTGTTGGGATTAACTAGTAAAATACTGACAATAATGACTGTAATATTATCAAATAGTTTGAGGAATAAAAATAATTATTAAATAACAAATTATTTTGAAGGTCATTAAAAATATATATAATAAATAAAATTATATTGAAAGAAATACAATAATTTTATTTTATTAATTGTATGTATATCCTTGTTGTTTAAAGTTTGAAACATACATGCCAGAACGCATTGATTATTCTGAATGAAAAATGATATATTGATGAAATTTTAAATAATAGTGCAATATTGCAACTTATAGTTGAAAATAATATAATAATTTATTAAATTTTAAAAACTAAAATCATATAAATAAAATTTACTTAACAGAAAAAAGATAAACATGGTAAGTATAAGATAAAACCCACATATGACATAGTAAAAGAAAGAAAAAAAAATATGATTGATTGTTCATAAAAGTTTGTAAAAGAAAATCTATAGAGATTTAAAACATATGAATAAATAGATAAGAGATGAAAACAATAAGTAATAATAATATAAGTTGAAAGAAAAAAATAAAAAAAATTTTAAAATTGAGTGAGACATATGAAATCATTTTGTTATTTTTATTTTTATTAATTATTAAATAAAAAATTATTTTAGAAAAGACATTAGAATAATTTATAAAAAAATAAAAATTTTATAAATTATGAAATAAATTTTTAAAATTTTGAAGAACCATTAATAGAGCTTCATCCTTAAATATGAAATATAAATTGATATAATATAATAATATAATTACATAATATTTTTACATTTCATATCAAGGTTACTTTCACGTTCAATTGCTACCTGTTTCATTCCTAAAGATTAGCCTTCAATGCTATGCCTTTTAAGAAGAGATCAAAAGTGATGCTGCTAGTCCTTTGGTTGGAGTCTCACGTTCATACCAGGGTCAAGACACGGCAGGTGAAAGTCTTGGTTTTATGAAATAATACTCTTGATGGAAATTATTAATTTTTTAAATATATTGTAGTATTGAAGTATGTGACAATCTAATTAATTTAGTCGATGAAATTTACAAATTAACAATGCATGAAATAATTTTCCTTTTAAAAAATCAACAATAAAATTGGTTGTTTAAATGTGTGAACATGACTGGTGGTTGTTTGCTTGAAATCATACGTATAAATATGGTCTCCACTCTTGTCTCTCTCAACCTTCACACTCAGCCTGTCCTTTTTCTTCTTTCATCATCTCTTAGAAAAAGAAAATATGAAAGGGTTAACACAGTGGTATTTTGTCCTCTGTTTACTCCTCTTGTCCTTCAACTGTCATGTTGATTGCTCATTATCTAGTTTCTCTTCCAATTCTGCTTCCCTGGAAGTTGTCTTAATGTCAAACAACAACTTCGTTGGAGAAATTCCTTCTTCCATATGTAATTTGATGTCAATTTCAGTTCTTGACTTGTCCAATAACGAGTTGAGTGGAGCTATTCCAGATTGTCTGGGCTCGAGAGGTAAGATGCCTAATCTTTCAGTCCTAGATTTGCACATGAATAAATTTCATGGAAACATCCCAGATTCGTTCGTTGTCGGAAACACATTAGAGATACTTAACCTCAACAACAATGATTTTGATGGGCCAGTTCCTAAATCCTTGGTGAACTGTAATGATTTGGAAGTGTTAAATCTTGGAAACAACAAGATAAATGATACCTTTCCCCACTGGTTGGGAACTCTTCCTCAGCTACAAGTTCTTGTCTTGCGCTTCAACTATTTCCATGGTCGAATAAGCCCTTCAGAGAATGAATCTCACTTCTCGGCTCTGCGAATCTTAGACCTCTCCCACAATGAGTTCTCTGGGCTTTTGCCAACAACATATTTAAAAAGTTTCAGTGGTATGATGAATTTGTCCAATGTTCAACGGACTTCTATGGACATTTTGAATCCTTCTTACCATTTTTCCGTGCTTGTCACAATGAAAGGTAGGGACAGGGTACTTGAGAGAATTCAAACTCTTTTTACAACCATTGATATGTCAAGCAACAAATTCCATGGAAAAATTCCAGAAATAGTTGGAAACCTCATTTCTCTCCAAGTGCTCAATTTTTCCCATAACAGCCTAACAGGTCATATTCCTTCCTCAATGGGGAAGCTAACAGCACTTGAGTCACTGGATCTCTCTACCAACAAGCTTGTTGGGGAGATTCCCATGCAGTTAAATGGTTTGGAATTTCTTGAAGTGTTAAACCTGTCACAGAACCAGCTTGTTGGACTCATACCTCTGGGAAATCAATTTAATACCTTTCTGAATGATTCCTATGGTGGCAACTTGGGATTGTGCGGATTTCCAGTGTCAAAGAGGTGTGGCAAGGATGAGGAACAAGAACCACCGGAATCTGCTTTTCATGAGGAAGGAATTTATTCTTGTCCATTGGATTGGAAATTCGTAATGATGGGTTATGGATGTGGACTGGTGCTCGGATTATCAACAGGATATATCATGCTGACAATTGGAAAACCAGAATGGCTTGTTAGGATGGTTCAAAGACTAGGCTACAAAATTCTGAGGAGATTGAAGAGTTATCATTGAGGAAGAAGAAACTCTACGAAGACAGATGCTGCTCTTCGTTGGTTTGTTGAATACATTTGCGTATTCTAACTGTCTTTTGTTCTCCTGTATGCCTTATAATGTCCTATAAAATCCAATCTCTTGTTGCCCTGGATAACAAATTGAAATTATCAAATTGATATTCAGTATTATGGTTAAGATGAAACAGAATCTCCATACTATTCTCGTTCAAAGAGTATTAGCATCAACGGCCTGTCCAATTCTTGTCTGCTTCAGTCTCAATAGTTAGCCTTCACCACTACGGTGTTTAGGAGAACATATCAAAGTCATGTTGTTAGTCCTTTGGTTTGGGTCCCACTCCCACGCAAGGTGGAAAAGTGGTAGGCAAAAGTCTTGGTCTTATGAGCTTTGAAGACCCCGGACCCAAAGAGTACGCCATAATTGTCTTCACGCAAAACAGTGCTTGCTACAGATGCAAAGTAGTTGGACTCTACAGATGCTATCTAATGTGCTTGTCAGAAATAATACTCTTGAAATCC